ATAAGATAAAATTGTAACGTTAAGGCCTAAGGTCGAGCCATGCGAGAATCAAGTGGCTATTATATAATTTCGTAAAAATTTCATATTCAATGCTTTTAGGAGCTACCAAAAGGATGGTCCCTGATATCCACCTTTCAGTTCATTTCCCTATAATTATTTTTAAATCCTAATGATGCTGTAGATTTCGAATCCTTTTACCATGTAGATTGTTGAGTATACTGAATAGGCTGATAATTAGCCTTTGATATAAATCGTGCTTTCTTTGACAATTTACATTTTTACCTTTTTTTTTTGAACAATTTTTTTTTGAACAACATCATTTTAATAAAGTCACATATATTTAACTAAAAATAAAAAAAAATAGAAAATAAAGTCACATATATATAAAGGTAGTTGCATCCGGAAAAATGATACACTAAGATTATGCTAATTGCATAATTTGCGAGCTATGAAGTCTGTGAAGAATTCAAGTGTCTTTAATCTCAAAAATTATGTTGGATAGTTTTTGGCGTTTAATGTTGTATTACGTGTGATGTGTTCGTGTTCACCCCATCTTTGTTAATTAACGATCAGCATTGCTAAACCCAGTAGCAGTCGGAAGTGAAATAAGCATAAGCTTCAAACATTTTTTGTGTTAATAATTTATCGTTCACTAAATTTAGAAAACTCTTAAGTAGCCTAATGGTTAATTAAAGCCAATATAGAAATATAGATAATGGATTCAATTTTCTACTACAACAATCGATCTTGTTTTTTTAATTACTTCCAACCTGAAAATATTCAGGGCTGACTAAACCTAGTTCACTTCCTGCTAAAACTCGACTATTAGCATATTTTCTAATATGAGTTTCTTTGTTGCATCGTACGTTATTTTTGCTTTATTCCAAAATCTAAATATTTTGTGTCTTTAAACATATTAGATTTTATTTTCTTGACAAGATAGAAAATTTGTAAATATAATTTGTTCTGAACAACAAGAAGATATGATAGAGGATTTGTAAATATAAATTATTTTCTACAAAAAAAGGTAGAAAATACTAAGATGATAAGTTGATAACCACACAGTAGTTTAGTGTGGTAGGCTAATTTTGAGAATATCCAAATATGAAACAATCCTACAAAATTAAACTCGTATGGCCACATGGATATATAACTATGTTTTAGACTTCATTTGAGTACTAATAATGTTTATTTGTAAACTATAATTATCATTTATGATAAATCTGGACACTTTTATAGTTTTGGCATAGTCAGCTTAACATTTATTTTGGCTCCCAAACAAAAATAAAATTTAAGCTCTTAACATTTATGTTCACTATAAATTTAAATGTCTTTTAATTTTTTTTATCATGGACATCTTTATAAAATTTATGATGAAATAAATTATGTACACATAACATATTGTAGGGTATTTTTCAACTAAATTTAATAGATATTTAAAATTTTATATAAAATATATATATAAAAAATATTGGACCTTTTAACTATTAAAATATGTGAGGAATGCGGATTTAGATATGTGACGTTTGTACAGTTTGTGTTCTATTTTAGCTGGCCCTTGTTTCTGGATACTTTCATGTTAAAAAAATAAATAAATAAATACTAAGATTGTTAATATGTTATGTATGTGCGTCACAAGTTTGCATATCAAAAGGACTAGTCGGAGGAGTTGTTCGGACTACCCAACCAAAAAAAAACTGAAAATTTGAACGCAAAGTTTAAAAACTGATAAATTTAGAAAATTTCTTACTCTTGAAATTGATTGTTTTTTTTAATTATTGATTTAATAATTACGTTAGATGACGGCTGTCAAATCGGTTCAGCATAATCCAAAAATCAATAAGCAGAAGCTATATGCATGGCCCGAACGGGAAATGGTGTAACCATTTACTTCAATCCAGAAAATGACTCATATCTAACCACTTCACTTCTAACATCCCATCATCCTTTATATTTATTATTTTATTGCTTTAGTTTGGGTTATTATAATAATTTGTCGAAATAATCTTATGATCTGAAATCAACCCGTGTTTAGAGAGTGTGGGCGATCAGTACTTGTGGTGATTAGAATAATTTGTAGTATATGTGAATGTGAGGGGACAAGTCCAGATCAGTAATCAGATGGATTAGTTAATTAATTATAAATCTAAATGTTCAACTAAGAAAATAAAATAGCTAAGTAACCCTCAATGATTAAAGGTCAATGGGATCCACGTTGGGGCCTATAGAGTAATTTCGAATAGTACGTTCAAAAAGCAAAGTTGATACTCATCTCCACATTTTTAAAAAATGTTAAGACACACCTAATTATTTTACGATTACCTCTTATAACACAAGAACAAAAATGATAAAAATTTTAAAATAATAGTATAAGTTATAATGTACTATCAACTATACAACATAATTTTTAACTTATACTTAGAACTTCCATTATACAAAATCTTTTATATAAACATTTTGATTTTCCACCAAAATTCCCATTTATCCTCCACTTATCTTTTTTTCTTTTTTTTTTTGTAACTTCCTCCACTTATCTTTACTAAAGGGTAATGTTCTTATGAAAGTCTTAAGTCTGAAACTAATATAATGTGATTAAATGCTTGAGATATAAAGCCGCTTTCTAAGACAATTTTGCTGGACGGACAAAAACCAACAAATCACCACCGTCTTTATGTGCAGCTGTCAATAGATCTCTGTGAATAAACTACTTCTGAAAAAAATGGCTAAAAAAGCTAATCCTTATAAGGTTTTTTTGTGAAAGGGTTTTAATCCTTCAGTTTCTTCCACGAATAAATTCTTGTTTTAACATTACACCATTTCCCCCAATCGCTCTATTTTTCTACCTTTTATGACAATATAAAATATAAATCATTTTCACTTTTTTTATCATTTCATTCTCACTTTTCATCATTTTTTTCATCTGTTTTTTTCCTCCACTTTTCATTCATTTAGAACCCAAGATAAAGCAGTGTTTATATATTTTAATATTTGTACTTATTGACTGTAATAACTGTACAATTTACTACAGATTGCAAGTTTTAATGATGTTATTTATTGTTTCAACGTAATACTTTTGCAGTTGACATGTATTATACATTTTATATTATAAAAACAAGATTTTATCCAAATATACTTTTGCAACCTCCTTTTCATTTTAGTTGTCATTTTAAATTTGGACACACTGATCAAAAAATCATTTAAATTTACATATTTTCAAAATAAGAAAAATACAATTATCTATACTCTTAACCACATTTTAACCAATAGAAAAATAGAAAAGTAGATAGAAATGATAAATTCTGCATCAGAATTATAAAATAACACTTATTGTGAAATGATTATTTTTCTAAAACGACAAATAAAGTGGAACGGATGTATTATAATAATTTTATTATATGTAAAAATGTCACATTAATTTTTAGAAAATAAATAATAAAGTCAGCAATATATAAACATACTAATCTACCCGCACCTTGTGCATGATGAAATTGTATAAATAGATTTTTTATGTGCTATAACTTATTTTTTGTTTTTAGAATAATAAGATAATAATATAAACAAATAACTGAGAAATAAGTACCTACTACTTATAGATAAATAAATTGGTGTGAGTATATAAATCAAAACAATAGTTCTTGTTCATTTACAAATATTATTTATGGTAAATAAATCTAAATAGTCATTTTTATATTTTATATAGTATGTAATTAACTTTAAATGATATTAACATATATAAAGTATATTTTTAATAGGCTTATTTATTAAATAAGACTTTCTACTCATATGGTTTGATGTTCATTTGCATTTTTTAAAATAAAAATTTTAAATCACTCATATTTTTTTAATGTGACATTTAAGAGTTTTACTAATTGATGATCATATAAAAAACAATAATGTAATGTTCTAGTATGTTCTCAAAATTACAATATATATGTATTTATATGGTATATATAAAATATTACTAAAATAAATATATCTTTTAATCTCAATATTTATAAATGAGACTTTTTATTCATATGGTTTTCTAATCATTTGTATATTGTTATAATATATTTTTAAACCAATGATCACAAGTTTGTTAGAGTGTGACATTTAACAATTTTAGTAATCTATTGTCGGTTTTAATAATTTAAAATATAAAATATACAGAAATTTAAACTTTTTTATTTTATGATGAATTTTATTGTTTAATTTGTTTTAATAATATAATTTTATACAAAACGATAGAGTATACATAATTTTTTTATCAAATCTTTAATAGTGAAAATTATTAATTGTCATATATATTTTAGTCACATTAGGAAATTCCGTAGTTTTTGTTTAATACCTAATATTATAGTTAATTTAATGAAAAATTTAGTATATAATTAGATGAACCAACATATTTCTCTAAAAAATCTAAAAATCAATTTAATAATGACACGTGACTACTTCAAATGTTGTAATGCTTCTCTTTTAATATATAAAGATATCAGCGTATACAAGTTAACTTACCAATGTAAATCACAATATACAAAGTTTGTTACGGCAATATATACATTGTAAATTAAATAACTTATTTGATCAAAATTTGGAATATAAAAGAAGAGAAGTTACGAATATTTTTGGCTCAAACAAATGAAAAAGATCAATAAAAAGTGATAAATTTGAGTTCAATAGGCAAAGAGAAAAAACATTTCCTCACTTTTAACATGTAAGATATTTATTTTTTATTCACTTATATAGATGTTTTCACTTTGCAATGTAATCTTTATATGACCAAAATATTATGTAATCAGTTATAATGTATTACTTTATCTACTACCAGTTACATTTAATTTATATTTTAATAAGATATTTTTCAAAATGATCATAATATATGTGAATATTTATGATAAAACATAGAGAGTATAATATAAATATTTCAGAATGGCTCCTTGAGATAAACAAGCAGATCCATCACAGAAATATATAAATTCTAAAAATAAATTAACTTTAGGTATTTACAAACACTGACACCATAAAAATCCTACGCCTGGAGATTTCACTCTTCTTCTTCGTGTAAACTCTTTCTCTGCCTCTCTCTCCCATTCTTTTCTTTCTCTTCCTTCTATGAATTCTTATCTTTTCCCTTTTTATGTTTATTTTTTATTTCTGTAACTTCTTCATCAGAGACAGAGAGGGGAAATATTTTTAAAAAGGAAACAGATCAAAACTGTGAACGATGATGCAGCTGGGCAGTACTACTACCACATCTGCCACAACCGCAGCTGCACCGCCACCATCCAACGATTCAGCCGCTACAGAAGCTGCAGCAGCTGTTGGAGCTTTTGAGGTGTCTGAAGAGATGAACGACCGCGGTTTTGGAGGAAACAGGTGGCCGCGGCAGGAAACGCTTGCGCTGCTGAAAATACGATCTGACATGGGAATAGCGTTTCGAGACGCTAGCGTTAAAGGACCCTTATGGGAAGAGGTTTCCAGGTGCGTTTCCTTTATTCATTTTCCCTTTTCTTGAAAAAAAAATCTTCAGTCGACTCTTTATTTTATTTTATTTTTGTAAATTTTCCATTGATGATTTTGATCTAGTTTGATATGATTATTACATAAGGAAGGTTGTCTTTTTAAAACTGTCTTGAGTTTAAAGATCTGGTTTTGTAATGTTAATTATCTCAGATTCGGTTTCACTTTAATTGGTTAACTGTTAAATTAGATAAAGTAGGTTGAGTCATGTTTTATTCATGACATTGAGAAGGCGAAGTCTTTTACAAACTCAAACTCATGCTGATTGATCCACTTCTCAACTATACGTATATACATAATATATGTAATATCATTTTTACTAATTAATTTCATTTAAACAAACAAATTTTGTGTTTTTCCTGAGCAGATCACGTTTGAATATGTTAATTTATTTAAACTTTCATGTTTTATTTTCTCAGGAAAATGGCTGAGCTTGGTTACATAAGAAACGCCAAAAAATGCAAAGAGAAATTCGAAAACGTATACAAATACCACAAACGAACCAAAGAAAGCCGTAGCGGAAAATCCGAAGGCAAAACTTATCGTTTCTTTGATCAATTAGAAGCTCTCGAGACTCGACCAACCTCCTCCTCACTCCCTCATCAACAACCACAACTATCTCAACCGCAAACACTTCAACCGCAGCCGCCTCTACAACCGCACAACAACAACAGCTCCATGTTCTCAACTCCTCCTCCGGTAACAACTATTACACCACAGATAACAAACACATCTCTTCCTCCTTATACTCAGCCTGTGAGCATACCTTCGTTTCCAAACATCTCGGGAGACTTTCTGTCGGATCATTCAACATCTTTGTCTTCTTATTCAACTTCTTCTGACGTTGAGATTGACGACGGAACAACCACCACGAGGAAGAAGAAGAGGAAGAGGAAATGGAAAGAGTTTTTCGAGCGGTTAACTAGACAAGTTGTTGATAAGCAAGAGGAGCTTCAACGCAAGTTTTTGGAAGCTGTTGAAAAGCGAGATCATGAAAGGGTGGTTAGAGAAGAGTCTTGGAGAGTGCAAGAGATCGCCCGTATCAACCGCGAACGCGAAATCTTAGCTCAAGAGCGATCCATGTCCGCGGCAAAAGACGCCGCGGTCATGGCGTTTCTTCAGAAATTATCTGAAAAACCAAACTCTCAAAGTCAATCAATCCCGCAACCACAACCTCAATCACAAGTGCAAGTTACTAATAATAGCAACCAGCAGACGCCTCAACCGCAACAGCCTCCATTGCAAAAGCAGTTTAATAACAACAGCAACATCCAGCAAACGCCTCAACCGCCTCAGCAGCCACCTCCTCCACCTCCACAACCAGTGACACCTACCTTAGTCATTGCAAAAGCAGACAATGGTGATCAGAATATGACTCCAGTGTCGTCCTCCGCGGCAGGAGCTGTGAGCTCATCGCGGTGGCCGAAGGTGGAGATAGAGGCATTGATAAAGCTGAGGACGAATCTTGATTCAAAGTATCAAGAGAACGGACCAAAAGGACCATTGTGGGAAGAGATATCAGCGGGAATGAAACGTTTAGGGTTCAACAGGAACTCAAAGAGATGCAAAGAGAAATGGGAAAACATAAACAAATATTTCAAGAAAGTCAAGGAGAGTAACAAGAAACGCCCTGAAGATTCCAAGACTTGCCCTTACTTTCACCAGCTTGATGCTTTGTATAGGGAGAGGAACAAGTTCCACAACAACAACAACAACAACAACAACAACAACAACAACGTTGCATCTTCTTCCTCAACTCCCGGTTTGGTTAAACCGGATAATTCGGTTCCTTTGATGGTCCAACCGGAGCAACAATGGCCTACGGCGTTGGCAACTACTACAACGACGGCTACGGTTCCTCCTCCTCCTCCTCAGCCGTTGGATCATAACTTTGATGATGAAGAAGGCACAGACGAAGGAGAGTACACCGATGAGGAAGACGATGAAGAGAATCAAGAAGAGGAAGGAGATGAGTTTGAGCTTGTGCCGAGCAATAACAACAACAACAACAAGCCGACGAATAATATGTGATGAGGATGATGATTCGGGTTCGAGTGGGTTGTGGTGAAAGATTAATTATTAGTAGTAATATTTTTAAAGTTTTGATACAGAAGAAGAGAATTTAAATATTGGAAGGGGGTGGTTTCTTTTTTATCTTTGATTTTTTAAGTTATACTGAGAAAAAAAAATGTTGAAAGAAAATTTAATAAATGTGATTTAGTTTTTTTTTTGGGGATAAATAAATAAGTAATGTTAAGAGATGGGGACAATGTGGGGTTCTAAACGCAAATAATTGAAACTGTAACTTGTAATGTTTGTAAGTCCTTTTAAATGAATGGTTCTTGTTGTTGTTGTCTGTATTTGTTTTTTTACATATTATTGTTATTGTTTTGTTATATATTACTGTTATTTTTTTGTTTATATTATAAAAATAAATAAAATAAATTATTAACTAGGAGGTGGAACTGAGAGGCGAGAGTTGCTCATCTTTTCCTTTTTCAGTAACAGTTTCCTTGGTATAATAAAAAAAAATAAAACTTTATATTATAATTTAAAAGAAGATGCCAAGTTCACATGCACACAAATGAGAGAGAGCGTGGGGTTTGGGGTCCACGTGGTGAAAGGAATCTTCATCTCTTTCTCTGTCTTTTGCCCTAAAAAACGCAAACCCTCTTTTGCAAGGGTTTTCTCGTAACTTCGCATGTGGCAGATCCAACGATGTATACAGAACTCGTAATTAAGACGATGATTCGTTGAGCCATGATTACTCTGCACATGTTTCGTCGCATTTCCAGATCTGTATTAACCAAAGATTGATGTATCTACCGACGATCGTGACTCCTAATGTTACGTATGACATAAGTACACACATACATACACTCACTCGTGGACTGATCTTAGAGGATTATTACACATCACACCCTATGTGGTTTTAGTTGGGCTGGATATATTTTAATACATTTCTTTCTCATGACTGATGTTTGGTTCGGTTCATTAACATTCAACACGGTATATAGTTTCTGCACATGTTCACAATGAAATCCAAACTTGGTCTGTACGTTAAGTAATGTATATGTATATATAAAATTAAGATGCCGTTAATGACCATGCATGATAGTTAGTCCAATTCATGCCATATATGTAGCCGTAAATGGATGGGTTTTATTCTATATGTTCCCAAACAACATACTACTAGTTGTTTTTATAATTGAGAGTTTCTTGCATGTGGTAGTTCAGATAATCATCTTCAACAAAACAAAAATTTCAGATAATCACTAAAATATGTGAAATCTTTGTTAGAGTGGAAAATTATGATTAAAATTGCAGTGAGAAAGTTCAAACCATAATCATTCAACTAACACAATAACCTCGTTACTCATTAAATGTTGAAAATAAAATATCAGGATTTCGATTACCATGCATGAGTTAGTTATTTCCTTTTGTTCTATATGTTTTATTTTGTTCTTTGTCATCTCTAGACTAGTGGTAACATGGCCGCCTGTATCTTGCCTCTAAATGTGGGAGTTTGAATCCAGGTAATCTAAGAGTGGGATGAAGATTTTTTGCGCCAGTAGGTCATCGAGTCTATTGTACAAAAAAAAACAGTTATTTTCTTCCATATTTTACAATAATTACACAGAGCTTAAAAAGTGTATGGTATCCTAGACTAAACTAGGTATTCTACTTCAGAATTTATATTAAAATTTAAGAAGGATAATTGTTTTGAAACTGAAATATAATGATAAAACTACACTTACTTTTTGTTGAACATTATCCAAAATAGCTGCACTTGATGTAAAACAGAACTTTTGATGAATACAATTTGACATTCATTCAAAAAAAAAAAAAAACAACACAATGTGAAAGGGAAATATGAATTTTTATGATTGATTAGTTCTCAAAAATAAAAATGAAAATATTTTTATTTATAACTCCTTAAAACCTAGATACTAATCTACAAGGCCACAGGCTCTTTGCCAACATTAGAAGAAAGGAACACGCCCACGTCACTGTAATTAAAACTTTTGTTCGTCTCTTATACTATTTTATATGAGTAATGTGAGCCCACTTTAATACGTTTGGTGTGTGTTATCGTTTATATGGATCGGATAACAATCGCTAATTATTTTGTTTACGTTTTCTTTTTCTTCGAAAGTATCTTCCCAAGCTCCCAGCGCACAAGCAAGCCTCAGTCTGTACCGTTGAATTAAATTATCTCACTAGTTTAAACTAATTCGAAATTACGAGTTTTGTAAATGATTAAAGAAGGCAATAAGTAGACTTTAAAGTACACGAAAAGGACATCTTGAAAATAAAGGTATCCTCATCCTTATTAATTTAAGTTAAAATTAAAATTGCCACTAGTCCACGTATATAAAAAGTTGAGGTATGAAACATTTTAGTACGTCCGCAAATTACTGGATGTTATTTTGAAAGTATAGAAGATATTTTAGATTGGTTTTCAATTTTATTGCGAGGGTAATAATTTCTCACCAAGAGATCACCTACTCGCTAGCTACCAATTTCATACGATCTCATCCTAGAGGTCTAATGAGGTTTGCTTTTATAATTATGACTTAAGCTCGATTCAGTTTGAAATTTGACTGGGTACAGTTGTTGGATTAACATTTTTGGGTTTTATTTTTTCATACCAACCTTAAGATAAAACAAAGTAACAAATTGTGATTTTAAATGTAAAAAATGAATGTAACGCATTTGATATAGTATTAGTTATCCTAAGCTCGTTGAGTTGCACATTTTATGAAATTGTCTTTTGTTTTTGTCAACAATCGATACAACTAGATAAAGTTATATTCAGGACTCCGAGGAACGTCTCTCTCTAACCCCATACAACAAACTATAGTTTTTGCTGTTAACGAAGACGTTCTGAGTCTTGAGTACTCATAGCTTCTTGTTGTAAGGTTCCAATATATGTTTTTTAATTTAGTTTCTTTCCTATCATCAACACCTAAACTTGTGATCTTGAAGGTCCGTTGTTTCCTATGAAAGATCCTTTATTGCACTAGCTAGTAGATACGTTGGATGAAAACTATAATTTGTAGTATATAGCGTTTTTGTAAAGTAAATCGTACCACCATAATTAAATATGCAAATTTCTTAAGATTATTCATACCGTGATGAGTAATTGTCATTGCAAGAATATACCTGAAAATTTTGTAATATGTAGATTTTAGACCATAGATTTGTACTGGATTCGAACACTTGTGGCACCTAGTAAGTACCTCTACGAAAAGCGATCAACAAGTGGGCAGCATTTGATCGCTGCATCTCAAGATAATGTTCTCCAGTCATTTTTTCCACCCTAATTTATGTATCATGTTACCATATTATTTATTTCTCTAATCCATAAAATGTCATTTAGCTGTTATAATTTAATCAATAAGATGATTTGCACCCAAGAAAATAATACAAAAGATGCTTTTGCATGGGGAGAATAAAATACTTAAAACTCATAATCAAGTTATATAGTTCGACGCATCCTACCGTCTAATTATATATTTGTATTAGAGTTGCAGAAAATTAAATCTGAGCAACAATATACCAAAAATTGAAAATGCAGCTTGAAAAATCTGAAGTGGGCTTGGCTTGTAAAAGGAAAATGATATGTGAGAAAGAATGGTGGCTAATTATTAGAACCGGAATCTTCTTCTTTTTCTTTTACATAAATGTTTTAAATTTTAAATTTTATATTTGAATCTTTTTCGAGGGGCTAACAATGATGACGAGTCAACACTAAATATGTATATTCAGACATAAGAGTTTATTTTAAAAAATTATATAAGCTTTAACGATAATTTGTGGGAAAGCAAGAATAATTATAGAGTAGATATATTGATCATCATTTCTTGAATCCTTTGAAATTGATGAGCTCTTGAGTATTAAAGAAAACATAGTTATCTTGTAAGTTGTAACCTAGTTCCATTAAAAGACATTATTGAAAATTTTCCTTTTGTTTTTTTTGTCATCTATAAGAAGTGACATCTATGGGTAGCATAATATCAAAATTTTAGCTTTTTTTTTTTGGTCAAATCAAAATTTTAGCTTTTACCTTTGTTTTGACATGAAAATGGTACATTTCGCGAAGAGGACATACATTAAGAAGGTTCTTGATTATACATAGTTTTTCCAAAAATTTCCTAAATCTAAAAGACTAATCTGTGTCGTTGTATCTCAAATGTGAATTGCAGTGGTCAAAGTGAGTCGAACCCAGATGGTCGTACTTGCAGCTGCTGGGAGTTTACATTAAGAAGGTTTGGGCAGATGATTTCTCATGGCGTTGAGAAGCAAAAGTCTATTTGTCTAAGACTCTATGTTTCTAATTAATCCAACGGAACATCTCTACTTATGTTTTTCGCAGTTATAAAATTTACATATGTCGCTTATATTCAATAATATACACTTTAATTGTAATATCAGTCTAGTTCTTTAAACAAAACATCATTCTTGTTTTACTGATATATCTCAAAGGTTTAGCTTCAGATGGTAACTTGTTTGTCTATAGAAAGATCGTCTGAAGAAAGCCATCCACTAATCAAAATTTACATCTTCTGAGTTCTGAGTAAATAAATATATCGACAATTTAAAAACAGCTTATGCACTTTGTTTACCTTCATCTCTATTATTTTGTAGTTTTATCCATATTTTTCCATGAAAATATTACACCAAAAGTCACTTTTGAGTTTTTTATTTCATTCTGAGACACTTAATGCTCCTAAGACACTTTTCCTTAACAGCTCACTTGCTCCCTAATTATTTATCAATATTTAATTTCCTTCTAGTTGCAACCTTAACTAGTTCACGAGTGTAGTATCGTTAGTTTAAGTGGGAGACACCTCCCCACCACACATCTTGATTCTTTTTGTATGGTTCAGATTTTATTTTAACTTTTGGACAAGACATATAACTTTCCACAATTGTAGCCACATGATCTTCTATTTTTTTTAACCCATCGATGGTCCACATTATCTTATGACATTTGACTTTGTTTTTCATCTAAACAAATCGACGGTGAACTCATCTCTCTCCGATTACCGCTGCTAAAAGAAGAGGTTAGTGTTAAACGTTAACCTATCCACCACGACTTTTATTTAACATAATTACTCTTCTCATGTTCTTGCAGAGAGAGTCACATGGTCAGCAATTGTATGGTTGTCCCCGGAGAGTGGATTTTTATAAACTCTGTTTGAAAATTTGCAGCCGACAATGACAAGATGTCACGAGTTGTAGCCGTGTGTCCCGGAATGCCTCTCCTTGAACTTCAAGATAATGTCCTCAAGGAGTACTTCACGTTCACCGACCAGCCCCCGCCATCTATCTTGAGTTACTGGCCTC